GAGATGGAGAAGGAAAGCTGTCCACTAAGAGGCAAATAACTACCCAAATTGCTCTGTCCCAAGTGCTGGGAAATGCAACTATGAATGACCTTGACACTAGGGAGACTGCAGAATGGCCATGTTGCTGGTTAAAGAGAATGACTCCCTACTTTTTCACACACAGAAGGACTTTCCCAAAGCACCTTGCTTCTTCTCTGGGGTGCGCTGTCCCTGAAGCTGCTCCGCTGTTGGCTGGAGAAGGTCCCATCTGCTCGGGGTGCTCTGGGAGGCAGTGATTTCAGCCCACATCAGCTGCAGCTCTCCATGCATTATTTACACACTCTGCATTTCAGGTGTTCCCTGTGCAGCCACAGCAGAAGTGAGTCACCATACTCTCAGCTGGGAGGATAGTGCACCAAGAGAGACTAGGACAATCCGAGCCTGGGCAGATAGGGATTCTGGCCATGTAAGAAAAGACCCCTAGATGGAGCCACAGAGCAAGTGAGCTACTTGAAACTTGCTGCAAAGAGCATATATACATCAGAGTCAGCACGGGGCAGCCTACACTCAAACCAGGCCACAAAGGGTGTACATCATGGGGAACAGCCTGGAAAAATCTGCCTCAGGAGGCTCCAGTCAGAGACTGAGTTCAAACTGGACTCTGAACTAACTGCGAGTCTGTTTTGTGCCACATTTCCTATTTGCTCCTATTGTGACAGGTCCCTTACAGAGGAGATTGCCAGCACCTTTCCCCAGCCCAAGGGCAGGCTATTATACACATCTGGGAAAACCAAAACCACCCTCTACAGGTGCTCCCTGGGCCATGCCTCATCCCAAGAAAGGTGTGAGGAAGCCGCAGCCTGGAGTTGTCCATGCTAGCAGGCAGGGCAGAGTGGGTGTGCCATTGTCTTGGCCCTCCCCTCTCTGTTGTGGAATGAGCAACTGCAGTGGGAGCCATTCCAGCGGCAATGTCCCTTCTCTCTATTCCAAACCAGAGGGCTGTCCAGTATCCTCCCAGTCTTCCTCACGCTCCCCTATGTCTCTATACACCTGTTGTCTCTTACCTTTGGGGTATCCTCTGTCTTTTGTACAGTACTTGGCAAAATGGGACTATGATTCATGACTGGTCCCCATCATCATCATCTACAATGTCCCTGGGCTAAACCACTGTAGAGTCTACAGTAGCTATCCCATCTGCATGCACAATCACTGCACTGCTGTTCCTCATTTATCAGTCTGGAAAGTGTTTCAGGATGCCCTCAGTCTGGAAAATGCTGTGTGAAACAAAATGTTATTCTACTCAGAACACTGGTCACCTGTTCGCAGAAACCGCTCAGAGCTGACAATGGGCTGGGTTATAGCCCATGACCATGACTGAGCAGAGGGGAGTTCTGTAGGACTGTCCTCCCACAGGTCTGAAGCCTTCTGAGCAGTGACGCAGTGACCTTGGAGCCCTATGAGTATCCTGGATTCCCATTATGGCTTGGACTCTGAGCAGAAGGTGGCTGTTTTTAAAAGCTTGAAATACAAAATCTAAAACACCTGAAGTTATTGTCTTCTAAGAGAAAATGGACAGTGTTGAGTAGCTGAGGATCTTTTAAAAACAGAAAAAACAAAGGGATTTCCCAGCTGGATCAAACCGGACATTCCTGTAGTCCTGTAGCTAGTCTGAGAGCCCCCAGAATGTTACTGAAATGTTTTGAAAACAACAAAAATTGTTAATCTGGAGTGCAGCGCAGAAGCTGCTCTGCAGGGGGGCCTCACCACCTCAGTTCCAGGTAAAAAGCACGGAGTGGAAACAGCTTGGGTACTCTGATGCTGTGGTGAAGATGTACCCATAGGATGCAAACAGGGGACGAAGAGTTCTATGGGCTGCACTGTGGGGGGACCCAGTCAGTAGACAAGGTGCAGGCTATGGAAGAAGGACAGCGCTATGAGAAATAAGAAAATGAGACATTGTTGCTAATGAAAAACCTTGGTGGCTAAAACCATTATAACAAATGGGAAAATATAAGTAAATGTAATCA